AAACATATGATGGTAATGTACACTTTATGTGGCCCAGTTTTCTCCTAAGATTGGTCACCTGCTTTTATGTCATTTTGAAGTCAACATTTTTGAAGAGCTTAAGAAGTTTTTGTCTAGTTATGGTTTGTTTTTGTCTTTTTATGGATTGTTATTCTGTTTATCTTTCAAGCCACATAGCACTAGAAAGAAAAAGAAAAGGCCATTGAGGTATACTTTATTGTCCGTGTAGGGAAATGTGTCCATTTAACCCATTCTAAATAACTGCAGCATTATTATTATTATTATCCTTCCAATCCCATTATAGGAGTTTCGTAGAGTATAGTATAGTATTTTGCAGTATACACCACCCAGAGGCCCATCTCCAGGTGTTAATACTCGGCTCAGTCAGTAGCAGAGCCGGAGATTTTTTTGTAAGTATTTTTAGTGGTTGGGTAAACCGTAGCACCTGGAGGAAAACCTACGCATACACAGGGAGAACATTCAAACTCTACTCAAACAGGCCCTGGCTATGTATGTGGTCTATTTTATCTCCCTTTCACTTGAGAAATGCTTTCGTAATCTCAAGAGAAAGGGAGATAAAATAGGCCACATAGCCGCTGAATGACTATGACATTATAGTTATACAATATTTCTTTCCAAAGGCACTCAAGAAAAAAGATAACCAGACTAGAAGAGACAAGCCAAGAGGAGCAGTTGCATTTCTTTAAAAAAAAAAAAAAATGCTGAATCCACACAGGGATAGGATTTCCTCCAAATACGAATATTTTTTCCCCTTTTCTCGTTTGCAAGATTTCTGTAATTTCTTTAGAATGTAACGTTGTCCATAAAGTTTTGGATTTTGTTCCAAACTGACCCTGGCAATAACATAACCCTTTGGCAGAGATAACATACTTAAAATGTTTGTTTGTAGCATAAAGAATAAGAGTTTAGTTTCCTCAATTGATCTTAATCCGATCTTGTTCTTGTCCCATGAGGTAAAAAGGACTCCTTCAGTTGAGCAAAGGTTTTGGTTCAAACTCAAATAACACATTTTCACACCTAAAGCTGGTTTATTTTTGTAGGATTAAGAGTAACACAGGCTTCTAATGAAAACAAACCTCCACTGAACAGAACAGTTTAGAATAGATCCAGATCGCCTGTGGCCACGTCCTTTCATTTGCACTATTTCTACAGTGAGCAGCGCCCTCCAGCGGACACAGGCTGCATCCCACTGCAAATCCTGTGGCCAAGACTTTTCCAAGACCACATGTGTCTGTCTCTTAAAGCTGAGGTGTTCACAAAAGGTATATGTATGTATAGCCATCCCAACTGAATCTAACATATAAAACAGTAAAATTGAATTAAATGTTGATGAGTTCTCTTTTTTTATTTTTTTTGGCTTTTAATTCTTTTGATACTTAATACTTAACATTGAGTCAGATATTTTTTTCTAATTGTTTTTTTAAGCAATTAAATTGATCTAAAAGTCACATTTCAGATAAAAGGTCTATGTTTTTTAGATGAACAAAAGTCAAACATGTTGACTTATTATTACAATGGATACAATATAATTTCTTATATCATAATATAACAAAATAATACTTTTTTTGTATATATGGTATAAGATTTTGTAATATTATTATTTTCTAAGGTAATAGTGTACTGTCAAGATCAACCATCAGGATTGAAAATAAATAAATAATTTGATTATATTCTAAAGGTATCTAGAAGGATTTTCTACTTCCGGGTGGATCATAAAGACTATTATCCTCCCAATTGTCAATCATTCTGGTGATACGTGCTCGTCAAATAAGACGAGTCCAAAAAATGGAAAGGGCGGTTCTTTCCTGAAATTTGGGAAAATCGTCACATAAACCTTAAAATGAAATGTGTCATGAAACACTTTTCCTTCACACGTTTATCGGGATATTTCACTGCAAGTATTGTATTAGAATTTTGCTTCTGAGCACAAAGGTCCTGGGATTGGGACCTTGGTCAGGACACGATCTTCCCATCTGCATAGGTTTCCTCCAGGTGCTCGTGTCTCCCCTACCACTAAAAACAAATACAAAAGGTATGCAGAGGAAAAGGATGACAAAGTATAACTTAATAACTAAACTTATTATACAGTCTTTATTTTGTTTATGTGGGTTTTTTATTATTATATATTCACAAAAGTCATCAGTTCTTTCACTAATATGATACAAACAGTTGTCCATAGAGTTATAAATAGTCATTTTGACAGCAGATTTATCATAAATACTAATAGCAACAAGGTGAGGCAATAAAAGTCAGAATGAGATGTGATCTGGGGGAGTTCTGGACCAGTAGGAAAAACAATAGCTGTGTTCTGACACCAAAAATGATATTCACAGGAATCAAAAACACCAAAAAAGTGTATCATATCATACTATAAATTAATTGCATACACTTTTTTGTGATCACTTTTTACCTAGTCCTTCCTCGTGTAGAGTAATTATTAAGAACTTATAATGTAGTCTAGAGAGATTTGTCCTGGATCACTTTCTGTGTCGTTGCTTTGATTCATGGCCCGCGTTAATAAGCAATAGGGCCGTAACTGTTCGACTGAAGTGGTATTTAGGACCAGGGCTCGAATGTAAAAAGTCATCTCTCAGCCTGACGCCACAGCTCTTCCCATTGTTCTGTGAGGAGACTGACAAATCTATCAACTATCATACAGATTAGAAGAGAAATTATAGTTTTTACAGAAGTCTGGAGCAATTATCACGTGCAAAGCTTTTCAAACGTGTATGGACTTGGAGATATTTAAGTTAGTTAGTTGTTAGTTATTTATTTAAAAGGACAACGGACAGGTACATTAAAAAGATGGCTGCCCCAGATTTAGCACAATGCTAATTTCCATCTGTAGTCCTATTTCAAAGATAAATATCACAAATACATATTGATTGATTGATTGTATTTATTTCAAGCTTATAAACAGGAATCAAGTATAGATTTAACAACAATATGAAGAAGTAGCCTGTGCGGGAGTGTGTGTGTTTGTGTGAGTGGAGTTTTCTTGTTTCGCTGTTTGTCTGGGGGGTTTTCCTCCAAGAGCTCCAGTTTCTACCACCACCAAAAACATGCACCAGCTCTGTGGTATTACTGTTGCCTGAGGTCTAGTGGCATTGAGGATTAGCTCAAATGTAGAGTGCACATTTGCCTATGTTGACAAAGTATACCTTACCGATGAAAAAATATGGTTTAATGTTGTTTCATTGAGTAAAATGGTGATTTCAACTGAAGTCAACTGAAAATAAAGTTTGTTTTAGATGCTCTATATGGGTTGTCTTCATGTTGTAGGATTCTATTTCGGTCGGAGGGCAGGCGTCACTGCAACTTTATGGGAAAGAAGTGTAGAGAAATAATGTATTGCCAGATCACTGTTTGGTGCTTATAGACACACAAACCCTCCATTTATTTATTATTTATTATATTATTATTATTTGTTTGCTCATTTTTGATTATTGTCACCACTTCTCGACACCTTTACGAGAAAATAATTAGACCGTTGTTGATATGTACTGTGACGGTTTGTGTTTCTTGTTACTATAAACAAATCTCACTTCTGACAGTTACCATAGTTACCAGGAAAGATTTCTCAGCTGCCCTCCTCTACAATACATCCTTTTAACAGACTCTTTGGAATGCTGTTATGTCCCATGAACGCATCCTACTGAATAAAGTTTTATTTCAGAAATCCTCTCGACATCTTTTTCCGACCTTCAGCTTTTTGGTCGCGACACCCAGTTTTGGAAAACATGTAATTTTGGATTCACGTTGAGAAAATAGATACAGTATAGAGAGAAAAAACACATTATATTTACCAGTGAGAGCCACGTATGAAAAAGCAGTTCAGCAGTGATCAGATGTGGACAGTGAATTATCAGAATCAGTGCAAAAACACAGTTTAAATTGAGCCAGTTCATAAGGATTTAAGACTAAAATCAAAGTACCAAAATAATGTTGTATTTGTGGTGCTATTGGTGCTGTGTATTGTATTGTATTGTATTGTGTAGCAGAGGTGTCAAACTCATTTTGGTCTCAATTTAAAAATGAGGCAATTTCAGATTATACTTTAACTCAGAGGTGTCTATCTTTTGACGCTTTTTTGGCATCTGTGGCCATTTTTATTATTTTTTATATATTTTTAAAAACATTCCCAGCATTCTACTCTAAAATACCTCTACTAAAATAATCAAATGTAGGAAATTCAGCTCTGTTTAGCTGTCTCTTTACTCCTTTTACTGTACTGGGATTATTTATGATTTCATTGTGTGTGTGATTGTTTCTAACTCGTTTTGTTAAGCACTTCCCTAGTGTACCTGGTGAATCAACCGTGCTATGAGAAAAAATATTTTTTTTACAGATGTCTGAAGCAGTAATCACATGCAAAGCCTTTCAAACTTGTATGTACTTGGTGATATTTCAAAAATACATGAAACAAATACATATTGAAGAAACAGTGTGTGTGTATGTGCGTGTGTGTGCAATACAAATAAACTTGCCTTGCATAATTCCACTTGCGAAAATCCTCTCGGGTCACAGTAAAAATAGTGTTGCGGACTGATTAACACCCCTGCCATACATATTGTAACAAATGTGATACATAGACCAGGTGTCTCCAACTTTTTCACCCAGAGAGCTACTTTCCCGGGACAATAAAGGCAGAGAGCTACTCCTTTTAAGCCTCCCTGGGAAAAAGATGGTGATATATTGGTGTGAATAAGTCTGAAATTGGATACGTTCGTTATTTATGATTGCATATTTGTTACTAGTGCACAAAGTCATTGCATTTACGGTGATAAATAATGATCATGAATAATAAAATCTGAAACATCAAGTATATTACTAGATTCGTCTTTTTCTATACCCTTTGGCGAGCTACCGGTGGCTCCCAAGCTACAGGTTGGAGACCCCTGACATTGACATTTCTAAAACAGCACTGTAGTGTAACATGTGGATATTTGTGAAGAGACTTGATCCAGGTTCCTTCATCCTCAGACTGGCCTGGGCAGGAACAGCACGGCCTTCTGTCCCAAGTGAGTGTCCTGTCCCGGTTTGGGCTGTCCGTTCTTCTTTATCCCCACGTACCAACCAAACTTCTGCGAGCGGTACGTGTTGTAGTGGTTCTCCTCGTACTTCTCGATGAAATGGCATTCGTCGCTGAGCGTTTTCTGCGGAGGAAATCACAAATGGGGCGTATGAGAATAAAAGGTCGCAAAGTGTTCTGGGAATATAAGGCTAATAATAAAAGGCCTTTGAGTGCCATAACTCATGTGTTTCTCAGAATGTAGGTGATTGCTTCGAAATTAAGCTGTTGAGAAATGCTTCAGACGATGATTGAGATTTCCAAGAATGAGTGTGTAAAAACATTAGCTAGAAAAGATGAAGTAGTATTTATGTGGAAGTTAAAGGTGATGTATTTAAAATCATGTTAAAATGTGCCTGTACGTTCTCAATGTTGCTCACCATAGTTACAGCCTCAGAGGAAACTAAAAAATGTACTAAAATAAAAGTGAAAGTCTTTAATTTATTTACGTCATTCAATTTAAAATTGGAATCAATATGAAGACGACTGGCTATACTGTACGCAACTGTGGCCCTCAAACTCGGCCATAGCCTCAGAAAGCTAGCAGATATTCTTGAATGTGACTCAAAAATGGAGCATTGTGTTGATGAACTATTTATTAAAAACCTCCAACGAAGCCGGCTGCTTTTTGAGAAGAGGTGGGACGTCTGTGTTTCTTCTGCTGCCCTACAGACCCTCCGGCAAGCCAAGTGGAACACTCCGGACCTGTTCCCTCTGACTGAGGACGTTAGAGCCATGCATGCACATATTGAGGTATGTCGACCTGAATATGTGCAAACCCTAATACTGTAAGTGAGCCAACGTCTAAGCATTGGTCTAAACTGGCAGTTTTGACTCTTTGTGAGGTCATTATTTTCAATCGAAGAAGGGAAGGTGAGGTTTCAAAGATGCCACTGACAGCCTTTACCTTAAGAAGTAAGACTGGGATCCATTCTGACATTGCTCTGGGACTGTCCGAACTTGAGAAAAAGCTGTGTCAGCATTTTCAACGCATTGAAATTAAAGGGAAAAGAAGTCGGAAAAGTGCCGGTTCTTTTGACTCCTGAAATGATTGCTTCGATGGAGGTGCTGGTGGAGAACAGAAGGGCCTGTTCCATCTGACCATAACCCATACTTCTTCTCCCGCCCGGGCGCAGACACCCACATCAGGGGATCAGACTCCCTACGCCAGGTAGCCAAAGAATGTGTTGTGCGGTGCATCCAGAGATGCTATCCTCAACCAAACTTAGAAAGCACATAGCTACTATGTCTACAGTTCTCAATATGAAAGAGAATGAAATGGACATACTAGCCAACTTCCTCGGCCATGACATTCGCATCCACAGACAATATTACAGACTACCAGAGGGGACACTGGAGCTGGCCAAAATCAGCAAAGTGTTGATGGCCATGGAGCAGGGAAGAGTGACGGAATTCGAAGGAAAGAGCCTCGACCAGATACAAATTGAGCCTGAAGGTAATTCTTGATATTATTAAAATATGTATGATTTTTTTCCCCTAAAGGCCACTTGTAATTTTATTTTCTGTGCGATAGGGAGAGCAGTAGAGATCCTCTCACAAACGGACGGGCTAAAAGAAACTTCAAGCGGAGAACCTTCAACCATTCATCCAGATGCACCCCATGGTAGTGGCAGTGCCCCTTCTGGTAAGTGTAGCAGGTGGGGGATTACAGCCAGGCTGCTTGGTCCTCACCCTGGGAGTGTATATTGCTAATATATTTTTATTTCTCTCCCTAGAACGTGTAAGAAAGCCATGGTCTGCATCTGAGGTGAAGGCTGTGGAGAAGACCATGACACCTTTCATACAGACTGGAAAAGTCCCTGGGAAGTCTCACTGCCTGGCCTGCATTAATGCCTCACCAGATGACCTTAGACATCGGACATGGAGTGGCATTAAATTCTATGTCAAAAATAGAATCACTGCAATTCGAAAAAAAAATCTAAAATAAAATTCCTTTAAAAGAGTTGTTTGTTTTCTATTGACTGTTTTGTATTACTTAAAGTAGTCCCAGTAAAAAGAGATTATGTCTATGGGTCCCATTCTGAACGGCCCTGTCAAAGGGACCCACCAGGTAACAAAAACGTGTATGTGTGTGTGTGTGTGTGTTTGCAATAGAGGTTGGAGCCCAATAAGCTTCATTCAACCCCTTTATCAAACTGTATTGCTGTTTTTGTGTCAGTTTTTTTGTGTGTGTAAGAAATATACATTTGAAATATAAAATATATACTAACATTACTTGTATGCAGATATTGGCCTATCAATGTGAAATTGTTAGTTATGATAATTATGATTTTTTTATTTCTATATACATCACAATGTATTGTTTTGCGCTGCATATACAAATTGACAACCGTAATAAATCAGGGAACACGTGCAAAATCATTTTAAGTGTCTTTGCCCCTCCCCTTGCTCCCAGGGGTCCACTCTTCCCAACATTGATATGCATGAGGGCTTACACAAACTTATTGATATGCATACACACATTTACACTATCAAACAACACCCATAACACAAAACTAGTATATATATATATATATATATATATATAATATATATATATATATATATAAAAACTTTGCAATATAAAGCTACATCCCTCCATTCCCATTGTCCAGGTATCGATGGTATTTGATCAAATACATGTCCATATATACACAGTGGCTTGCAAAAGTACTTATACAACTCTTAGTATGTATGACTCAGACTCACAGCTCCGTACAGCGTTCCCTCCCCGTCCATGGCGAGGTAGTGGCCGCTGTGCTCGCCCTTTATCACCACCACTCCCATGCTCACAGCCTTCAGCCTCAGGATCTCTGCAACACAAAATCATTCTGCATTTTTCATATCTACAGAGTGATGACCGCTCATGGATACAGAGGGAGTGTCAGAACAAGTGTTGTTTTCTGATCTAATACTAGAAACAGGAAGTACGATCACATTAGTCCAGTTCTCAGGTCTCCGCACTGGCTTCCTGTGGATCAGAGAATGGACTTTAAAGCAGATCTACCACGGTCTCCATGGCCTCGCACAGAAGTATATCTGTGACATGTTAGTGCCATTTGAACCAACTCTGACTCTGAGGAGCACAGGGACTGGCCTCTTGCTGGAACTCTGAGGAGCAAAGGGACTGGCCTCCTGCTGGGACTCTGAGGAGCAAAGGGACTGGCCTCCTGCTGGGACTCTGAGGAGCAAAGGGACTGGCCTCCTGCTAGGACTCTGAGGAGCACAGGGACTGGCCTCCTGCTGGGACTCTGAGGAGCAAAGGGACTGGCCTGGTGCAACAAATATACTGAGGTTTTAACCCAACAATTAAAGAATTACACTACAAAGGAAATTAAAGTTTGCTTACCTATAAAAAAAAACACTAAAAATTTAATCCATTGGACTTTGAGAATTTAAGAAGGCCGAGAAGGAGGGGAGGGACGCGGGGGAGGAGAGGGTTTATTAGCAATTGAGGCCTCACCTGCTAAAAAAAAAACTTCTGCTCAGAGTGTGGTTGGGGATATGCCAACAGATCTATTACTACGACTACTACTGCTACTACTACTACTACTATTATAACTATTATAACTATAACTATACTATTATAACTATTATTATTGCTACTTATCCCCCCTGGGTTTTCCATGCAGCAGGGTTTAAGGACAGTGGTGATAATCCAGGACATTTAAGGACATTTATGGACATTTATACATTTTGGTTTTAATTTATGGACATTGCTCATCTATGGACCAATGGTTCTGTGAGATTTCATAATACTTTGAAGCAACTTTTGTTAAAGTTAAACTCATCATTCTATCAATGTGCAGAAGCCAGTACTTTTCCCTTGTTTTGTCTATCTGAAGGCCAAGCTACATGGCACCGTGGCAGCTGCTGATTGGAGGTCTCCATGCCTCCGCTCTGTATAATACACTTGCATTCTATTGTATCTGTGTTCGTGTTGTTCGTGCTGTCTCTACCATCGACAATAAAACATGTCTTCTGTCTGAATTTAAGACGCAATCCCAGACATGTCATCTTCTTCAGGTGGTGGAAGGATGCGGGCCTTGTCTGTAACATCTAGAGAACAGAAGACTTTTTTTTTTACACAAAAAGTGTTTTTTTTTTTTTAAGCCAAAACTGAGAAACCTCAAGAGAATGCATCTGGATCAGCACTTGGACAATCTGCACAGCCCCTGATTCCAGTCAGGCTGTGAGCTGCTGAGACATGGACAACACCATCGTCCTCTTGGACAATTGGATTTCTGAATTTGGACATGATTTGGAACAATTGAATTGCTGAATCTGGACACTAAAGCTGAAACGTGTGATTGAAAGACACGTCACAGAAGAATTCATGGCTCGACACAACAAATGCAGCCTGAAGAAACCAACAGGAGAAGTGGGAGAGACTGTTTTCAAAGCAATATCTGGAACCACCATCGACTAATGAAGTTTGGTATTTTACTGAAGATTGTTGACAAGTTTTATGAAAGATCTGAACATGTTTTATGAGTTTTCTGAGTTTTCGAAGTATTCCGAGTTCTGAGTTTTTTGAAGTACCGAGTGAAGTACCGAGTTTAAGTATTGAGTTATGATGTTATGTTGCTGTTTATCGATCCTGATGGTCACACGTGAATGTATGACCAGAGGGGGGAATGTGAGATTTCATAACACTTTGAAGCAACTTTTGTTAAAGTTAAACTCATCATGCTATCAATGTGCAGAAGCCAGTACTTTTCCCTTGTTTTGTCTATCTGAAGGCCAAGCTACATGGCACCGTGGAAGCTGCTGATTGGAGGTCTCCATGCCTCCGCTCTGTATAATACACTTGCATTCTGTTGTATCTGTTGTTCGTGCTGTCTCTACCATCGACAATAAAACATGTCTTCTGTCTGAATTTAAGACGCGATCCCAGACTTTGTCATCTTCTTCAGTTCCTGTGTGTTTGATTCTCTGATCTATGTTGGCAAATTGACAAACTTTGGTAATTCTTCCAAGACAACTACTGTTGTGATTTAGGGCTCTACCAAAATAACTTGAATTAAATTGAATTAAATGCTACTCATTTTACTATTACTACCACTACTAATATTATTACTACTACCATTGCTACTACTATACAACTAACTATACTATTCAGTGTATTCTTGTATTGCCCTAAATCACAACAGTAGTTATCTCGGAGGACTTTACAAACCTGTTGAATTTGCCAACACAGATCAGGGAATCAAACCCCAGAAATGCAATAATAAAAACACATAAAGCCATTGGTCCATAAGTCACAGATGACCAATGTCTATGAATGTTGATAAATGTCCATAAACGTTGAATGTCGAGTGTCCTGGTTCATCACCACTGTCCTTTGACCCTCTTTCATTCTACTTTTTGACAACTACTTATGGTACTTCCACAATGACCAACTCCTCCACTATTAACGACTTCCTGCTTTTGCTGAGAGCAGTCGTGTGTCTCTCGGCTCTGCTTTTGCTTCGCCTTTTAATCTCCTTGAATCATTTTATTTACATTTTTTTGTCTCTCCTTTAATCATTTTATTTACAAAACGAGGATTACTCCTTCTACACACTTCAGCTTTGTGGAATTTATCAACTTTAGTCATGTCGGGACGAAAGAGACGGAGAAACGTCTGCGACGGCTGTTGTGCTTTGGAAAATCAGCTCAAATCTCTTCAAACACGGATATCTATTGTGGAAACAGAAATGGGACTTAACCCGACTCTTCCAATGAGTGAAAATGGGATGAATGGACAGACTGGAAATGTAAGTTATGACGTCATTTCTTTTCCCAAAATCAACAATGAGAATTATTGGAACTATTGTGGAGCTAAACCCAAAGTTGACAAAGCTAAGAATGACAATAGGAGTGAAATAAGGCCACAACTAAATGTTCTGAAGACTTCAAACCGCTTTTTACCCCTTTCTGAAACAACAAAGCCGCTAACAACTGCAGCGCCTCCACCAAGGACAAACTGTGTCCTTATCGGAGATGGTTCGGTGAAAAATGTAAACATGGAGTCCATGCTCACTATCTCAGTTCACTCTGCAAAAGTTGCTGAGATAAGGACTCTTCTGCCTAAAGTGTTATCTGAGAACAGTGGTGTGCGTACATTATTGATCCACACGGGGGCGGTAGATATCTATGAGAAGGCAAGCGAGAAGTTACGAATGGATTTAACGCTGTTACTGGATGACCTCAAGAAAATGGACATAACAATTTTCCTTAGTGGCCCACTTCCAAATATAGATGGAAAAATGGAGAAGTTTAGCCGTCTGTATCAGCTAAATACATTCCTACTCAATGAGTGTTCACGCAGAGGACTTGGCTTCATTGAAAACTTTAACCTGTTCTGGAATAGGCACGAGCTTTTTGAAGAAAAAGGCCCACATCTGAACAACTACGGAGTAAAAGTGCTGATGGATAACTTTGCATCTGCCCTAAGACCTCAGCCTGCGCAGCGCGTGCAGCCGTCGAAAGGGAGAAAGAAGAAGCAAAGGGCACAGACATCACGACCATCTCCACCGACTCCCGAGGTCTCTGCACCCCCACCGCCTCAAAAGAACTCCACACCTCCACGATTCAAGAAGAACTCAACACCTCCAAGGTTCCAAAAGAACTCAACACCTCCACGGCTCCGAAAGAGCTCAACGCCTCCACCACCAGCATCATCAGCAGCTGCCACATCTTCATCAGCGCCATCAGCATATACAGCACCACCAGCAGCAGTGGATACAGCCGCAGCAGTGGCTGCTCCATCATCTTCAGCAGCAGCAGTGGCTGCTCCATCATCTTCAGCAGCAGCAGTGGATACAGCAGCAGCAGTGGCTGCTCCATCATCTTCAGCAGCACCTTCCCCACCTACAGCTCCCGTGAAGCTTCCCCCACTGCTCCAGGCTACAGTCAGGCCTGTACTGGGGGTTCCTCAACCACCTCTGTCTCCACCAAAGACTCCCTCATCACCTTCCATGGACCCGGCTTGGGTCCCCCCCGCTACATCCACTCCATCTAGGGAAAATGAGGACGACCTTTCCCTTTGTTTTCTATCCCCGCCTTCACTACTGGAATTACCGGAACACTCGGCAGGCATGATAAGATCGGCGATGAAGACTATTCCTCTCACACCCACTGTAGCCAGATCAAGAGTCCTATCTAACATTCAAAACCACTCCCCATACGTACCTCCAAAGCTACCTAGGGCGTCCAACTCAAATTCTCCCACAAAATCCACCCGTCCCTCCTCTAACCCCATAAGTATTCCACCCCCCCCTCCTGCTCATTTAGCCCACCTCCCCCCTAACCCAGCACCAAGAAACCCTCCACCTCCACTCCCCCCTCGTCCACCACCCAACTCAGCCTGCCCCTCCCCTAACCCATCACCAAAAACCCATCCACCTTCAACCCCCCCCCGTCCAACTCCCAAGAACCCACCTGCCTCTCCATCCTCTTCCCCCACCTTCCCCTTCCCCTCTTCTCTCTAAGCACTAGGATGCACAGGGTCTCTGCTTCGCAGCCACTGGCAGTCTAGTTAGAGGAGAGACCCGGCTGGGGCCCTGTCATGAAGCCACCTGTGCCATTCCTTTAGTGATAACACAAATCAGAATCAGAATCAGAATCATTTTTATTGCCAACGTAAGTAACGGGAGGTCACAGACTTGGAAATTGCTTTGGCTCAGTGCAACAGTCAAAAAGAGATAATAAAAATAAGAATAAAAAACACTTCTAAAGAATAAATTTAAATTTAAAATAGAGTTACAGTTACTATTTACAATATACAAGTGCACATGGTGCACACAATGTAAGGTGACAGCAGTACAGTGAAGTAAAGTGACGTATGATGGGCAGTAAAGTGACTTTATAAAGGGCGGGGGACAGGTTAAGAAGTGTTCAAGAGTCCAACAGCAGAGGGGAAGAAACTGTTCTTGTGGCGGGAGGTTCTAGTCCTGATGGACCGCAGCCTCCTGCCTGAGGGGAGTGGATGGAATAGTCCATGTGCAGGGTGAGCGGGGTCGGCTGTGATACGACCAGCCCGGCCTCGAGCTCGGGCGACGTACAGGTCCTGCAGCGATGGAAGGCTGCGGCCGATCACTTCCTCTGCAGAGCGCACAATGCGCTGTAGTCTCTGTTTGTCCCTGACTGTGGCTCCAGCGAACCACACGGTGATGGAGGAGGTGAGGATGGACTCGATGATGGCCGTGTAGAACTGCACCAACATCTGTGCAGGCAGCTTGGCTTTCCTGAGCTGCCGCAGGAAGTACATCCTCTGCTGGGCCTTCTTGATGAGGGAGCTGATGGTCGGCTCCCACTTGAGGTCCTGGGTGATGGTGGTGCCCAGGAAACGGAAGGACTCCAAAGAGGTGATGGGGGAGTCCATCACGGAGGGTGGGGGCGGGGGGACAGTGCTCTTCCTGGAGTCCACAATCATCTCCACTGTCTTCTGGGCGTTCAGCTCCAGGTTGTTACCACTGCACCAGGACACCAGCCGGTCCACCTCCCTCCTGTAGGCGGACTCATCGTTGTTGGAGATGAGTCCAATGAGGGTGGTGTCGTCCGCGAACTTGATCAGCTTCACGGAGTCGTGGCTGGAGGTGCAGTGGTTGGTGTACAGGGAGAAGAGCAGGGGAGAAAGAACACAGCCCTGTGGGGCTCCTGTATTTATAATCCGAGAGTCCGAGACATTCTTCCCCAGACGCACTCGCTGCTTCCTGTCCGTCAGGAAGTCAGTGATCCACCTGCAGGTGGAATCGGGCACGTTGAGCTGGGAGAGCTTGTCCTGGAGCAGGGATGGCAGGATTGTGTTGAAGGCAGAGCTGAAGTCCACGAACAGGACCCTGGCGTAGGTCCCCGGGGAGTCCAGGTGCTGTAGGATGTGGTGGAGGGCCAGGTTAATGGCGTCGTCTACAGATCTGTTGGCTCTGTAGGCGAACTGCAGGGGGTCCAGGAGGGGGGAGGTGAGGGACTTGAGATGGGAGAGAACCAGGCGTTCAAATGACTTCATGACGACAGACGTAAGTGCTACAGGTCTGTAGTCATTGAGTCCTGTGATCCTGGGCTTCTTCGGGACGGGGACAATGATGGAGGATTTGAAGCAGGCCGGGACATGGCAGGACTGCAGAGAGGAGTTGAAAATGTCCGTGAACACAGGAGTAAGCTCACTGGCGCAGTGTCTCAGAGTGGCCGGAGACACGTGGTCCGGGCCAGGAGCTTTGCGGGGGTGCAGCCTCAGGAAGAGTTGTTTAATCTCTTTAGCGGCTATTGTTAGGCTGGGGGCAGGGCTGATGGGTGGGTCGTTAGAGTAGTGGGGGGTGGGGGAGGGAGAGGTGTCAGGGGCAGCATCAAAGCGACTGAAAAATAAGTTCAGATCGTCAGCTAGCTTGTGGTCATCAGCACAGGGGGGGGCTTTGGGTTTGTAGTTGGTGATCTCCCGTAGGCCCCTCCAGACAGAAGCAGTATCGTTGTTACCAAACTGAATACAAAGAATACATTACAGAAAAACATCTGAAGTTAATCAGTCTAATCAGGAAAATCTAATTCTTGTTCCGTGTAAGAATCAGCCGACCACAACCGCTGATACTGAAACTTTGAAACTTGCGATGCTAAATGTCAGATCTCTTTGTAACAAGTCTTTTTTAATCAATAATTTTATTTGTTCTTATAATCTAGATCTTACGTTCATGGCTGAAACATGGCTTGACCAAAATACAGAAAATGCAGTTTTAATAGAAGCATCACCACCAAATTTCAAATTTGAATCTGAAATACGGGGAAACAAAAAAGGAGGAGGCTTAGCTGCCATTTTCAGAGACCACTTTGTCTCCCATAGAATGTCTCTTGGGAAGTTTCCGTCTTTTGAATATGTGTCTTTTAAAATACAACAAAAACAATCTAGTCCAATACTCTTCATTGTCCTATACAAGCCACCGCAGTCATGTCACAGATTTATTGATAATTTTACGGAGTTTCTTTCAGTTTTATGCACAGATTTTGATAGCTTAGTTATTACAGGGGATTTTAATATTCATGTGGATAATGTTATTGACAGAAAGGCAAAAGAGCTGAGTTCTGTTCTTGAATCTTTTGGTCTCACTCAGCATGTGAGTGGCCCCACCCACAGCAGAGGGCACACTCTAGATCTGTTAGTTACAAAGGGGGTGAATATTTCAAATGTAAACGTGGTCGATGTTGCGCTTTCGGATCATTTTTGTGTATTTTTTGACATGTGTTTCACTAACAAACCACCAGTGGACTCTGCAACTGTACGAAGAAGACACATAAATGAAAATACGGGTGAACTATTTATGGGAATGATAAACTTTGAGAATGCATCGTATTCTACTGTAGATGAACTGTTTAACTCTGTCACCTCTAGTGTTTTGAATGTTCTGGACACCATCGCTCCTGTGAAGGTTAAAACAGTGAAAAATAAGCAGAAGGCGCCGTGGGCTAAAGCAGACTCGGTCAGGGCACAAAAGAGAAAGTGCCGGAGGGCCGAGCGGAAGTGGCGCAAGTCCAACCTCCAGGTTGACTACGAGATCTTCAAAGATAAGTTGTGCGAGTTTAACCAGGTGCTACGTAGTACGAGAGAAAGGTATTTTTCTGAAATGATTGAAGGCTGCAGCAACAATCTGCGTGTTCTGTTTTCAACAGTTAATAGATTAACAAACCCCCCTGTTCAGATGCCATTAGAGCTAACTTCCAAACGTAAATGTAATGAGTTTGCACATTTTTTCAATGACAAGGTTCAAGGCATCAAAAATGCCATTGTCTCCAATCCACAGATAACCATCCAACAGCCTAAAAGGCTCTTTGAGCTAACTTACTTTGCACCTGTAGATGATAAAACTGTCCAAGAGATAATCTCCAGTCTGAGCGCCTCCACATGTAGCCTGGATGTACTACCCACTAGATTTCTAAAGTCTGTTCTGAGCAGTCTGTTACCTTCACTCACACAGATAGTAAACATGTCCCTTCATTCTGGAATATTCCCAAAGGCCCTGAAAACTGCAGTCATCAGGCCCCTGCTTAAAAAGAGCAGTCTAGATGCTACGGTACTTAACAACTACCGTCCCATCTCAAATCTGCCATTTATGGGGAAAGTCCTTGAAAAAGTTGTCTACCAACAGCTAAATAGATTTCTTATAATCACCAACTCATTTGATATGTTTCAGTCCGGCTTTAGACCCCACCACAGCACTGAGACTGCTCTCGTCAAGGTTACAAACGATATCCGGCTAAACACTGACGCAGGCAAAGTCTCAATCCTAATCTTGTTAGATCTGAGTGCTGCCTTTGACACTGTCGACCATGAGATCCTCTTACAGAGACTAGAGAACTGGGTTGGCGTCGCTGGCACCGCCCTAAGTTGGTTTAGGTCTTACCTTGAAGACAGGAAGTACTTTGTGGAGATTGGAAACTGTGTCTCAGATCATATGGCCCTGACCTGTGGAGTACCACAGGGGTCGATCCTGGGACCTCTTCTTTTCAATCTCTACAATGCTGCCGTTAGGTCAGTTAATACGCAGAAACGAAGTTTCCTATCATAACTATGCAGACGACACTCAGATCTATGTCTCACTGACTGCAGGAGAACATGGACCAGTGGACTCACTCCTTCACTGTATCCAACAGATCAGTGAGTGGATGCAAAACAACTTCCTTCAGCTAAACGCAGACAAAACTGAAATGATTGTCTTTGGTCCCCAGAAACAAAGAGAGAGCGTCATCTGTCACCTACAGTCTCTCTCCCTAAAACCTTCAAACAAGGTCAGAAATCTAGGGGTAATACTGGACTCAGACTTAAATTTTAATAGCCACATCAAATCAGTAACATCAGCAGCTTTTTACCATCTAAAAAACATTTCCAGGATCAAAAACATAGTGTCTAAAGCAGACTTGGAGATTCTTATCCATGCATTTGTCTCCAGTAGGTTAGACTACTGCAATGGCCTGCTCACAGGTCTGTCCAAACAGGCTGTAAAACAGCTGCAGTACATTCAAAATGCAGCAGCTCGAGTCCTGACTAGAACCAGGAAGTACGACCATATTAGTCCGGTCCTCAGGTCTCTGCACTGGCTTCCTGTGGCTCAGAGAATAGACTTTAAAACAGCTTTGCTTGTGTACAAGTCTCTCCATGGCCTCGCACCAAAATATATTAGTGACATGTTAGTCCCATATGAACCAGCCCGGACTCTGAGGAGCACAGGGACTGGACTCCTGTTAGTGCCCAGAGTCAGAACTAAACATGGGGAGGCTGCTTTTCAGATTCATGCTGCTAAAATCTGGAACATTCTTCCTGAAGATGTGAGACAGGCCTCCTCTCTGACTATGTTTAAAACCAAGTTAAAAACTGTGCTGTTTAGCTGTGCATACAACTGAGGGATTTTATATTTTTATCTTTCTTTTTAATGTTCTGTGATTATTTATGATTTTAATGCTATCTTGTTCAGCACTTTGAGTTGCCTTGTGTATGAATTGTGCTATACAAATAAACATGCCTTGCCTTGCCTTGCCTATTACATAAGAACCTTGTGCATGATCTTGGTTCATACCATACGGGTCGTTGTCCTGCCTGCCTCCGCTCACCCGCCCGTCCGCCGTGACCCTTAAGTGGTACCCTCCGTTCTTGCAGTAGAGCCTGGTCAGCGTCCTGGGGTGCTGGTGGTCCTCCTGAGATCCCGAGGGGGCGAAGGGGAACACCGTGACCTCCCCCGCGGACATCACTCCACCGTCCCCCTCAGTGTGGAGCTCAGTGGGACCTCCAAAGGGCTGCGAATGCAAGTCAGAAGCCCCATTATCATCTCCTCTTCCATCCTCTCCTCCATAAACGTCCACTTGCTGGGAGCGTTCAAAGCAGGAAAAGCAAGGCAGGGAAGACAGCGCTGCCCTCATTTTGATCTCACAGGAAAAAACAAAACTATTCCCAGCAGCGCGCTCTGTAAACGTCTCTCACAATCTGTCATAGGGTTGATAAAAGCTGGCTCAGAGGAGAGGGACTGGCCTCTGTCCAAACACAAAACGATACATGACCAAACTTGTCTCCTGCCACGGCCGCATTGACCGGATTTGTCTGTTTTTGTCTCTTTTTTTCTTATTCCGTTCCTGTATAAATTGTTTCCAGATGGCAGTGATGTAACTTTACCTGAATTAGATCAAGGCCAGGCCGAGCAACAAGTTAAAGCGGTAGGCAGAACTTTTCAACAATGTGTCTGGAAGTAAAAAATATTTTTGCATAGATTTCGCTAAAACATGTAGATTATTCGGTTAACTTTTGAGATGGTTTTCCCAAAATTCCCTTAATACCATGACAAATATGGTAAAGTACAATGTATAATGTATGTATAATATGTTATGAAGCTGATAAGTGCAACAGCATTTTCATGAAAGGGATAAATAAAAATGAAATGAAATGAAGTTGACATTTGTATAGATAGTGATGTGTTTCCCAGAAACCAAAGTGAACAAGTCCGTCTTTATATACTGATTAGTTATTTTGTTTTCAAAATGTTGTCACAAATTGTCCTTTGATTGATGGGTGCTACTTGGGAAAAATAGCAATATCTCACATGCACTGAGATTCAAGATTGAAGAATGTATTTGCCATTTGCAATCCAATCCAATCCACTTTATTTATTATAGCACATTTAAACAATAGAAAAGTTCCAAAGTGCTGCACAAAACAAAACAAAAAGTAAAAAATTAAAATTAAAAAACTCCATGTAGCTCAACCAGTCAATAAAATAGAATAAAAAATATCACAAATGGTATAAATAATTAAAATAGGAAATAAATAATCAATTTAGATAAAATAAATATAATCCATGTAAAATCAATAAAAACACTAAAAAGATACTATAAAACAGAATTAATCACAATAAATAGGTAAAAGCGAATAAAGAAATAAAATAAATAAAAAGACACAGGGTCCACACAACTCACGCGGTTGCAGTGAGTTGTGTGGTCCCATTTGCAGTAAAACCGCATTGGCAAAACTGTGCAAGACTACCCCAGTGTGCACCAGAAATATATAAGGAATAATAAGGAAACATTTAATAAGGTATAATATGATAAGGAATAATTTTGTACGGAGTAACTGAATGCATCTTTAAAAATTACACTTATATTTATAATGGAGAAAAAAGAATAGCATTTCCTGTATCAATGAACATTCACAGTGAATTCTTTCATTTCCTGTCAAAATTCATATTGATCTAAACAATACTGGTGCTTTTTGAATGTCTAACTGTCCCAATCAACATTTCTAAATTATTATCACAACAATAATAATAAAAAAAAAACAATTCTGAAAGCAATCTCGAGATTTGATTTTCCATCTCACACTACCATAAGTATAATACATTTTTGTCTCTCTCCGCAGCTTACCTGGGACCCCACAACTCTTGGCTTTCTCAAATCCAAAATAAACTCCAGAAAAACAGTGGTCTTGGATGTCCCCCTGCTCTATTCCATTGTGTCACTGAGTGTGGGCCAGATGTAGCCTCACATCTGGAACAGCTTAGACGAAGGCATCCGAAATATTGCGAGACAGACAAGTGCGAAGCCACATCTGCCAACAGTTTTTCCAGCAGAGGAACCGGACCATGTTACGGGATTTGCGAAGGATCGTTTTGGACTTTTGGACAGAGCTGTCTGAGAATGACGTACAAAAAAAAGGTCAAAGTGGTGCAATCGAGTGGGAGGGCATCCAGTTTGATGAGTGTGTTTGGAAACGACATAAAATGCTGTTGTTTTTGGAATGATTAGTTGATAAGATAAGTGTAAATTGTTTATGTAAGAGATATGAGATGATGTAAATGCATCCTCCCAGGGATAAGTCACATTTGGGTTGTTATTTTTCCATTTAGAAATGTTCTGGTGAGATACATGTTTGAATAAGAGAAATCCCCTGATGTTAGTGACAATAAAAGTATCATTGCTTAAAGTGACAGATCAACAAATGGAACAAAAGTGAAAATTTAGACTTAAAAACTGAAATATTGGCCACCTGTCTCCTTTCACTACACACCTGTGCTTGTGAGCATCTTAAATGAGCTCAGGGACCTCAGTTATCTGCATCGCCCTCATTTAAAGAGCTTCACAGTCTCTGCATACAGCTGCTCTTTGTGCAGCAACCCTCCTCCTCCTCATCACCAACTTAATAGTGGATGATGTCATTGTCTCCACCACCCCCAGGGTCTAGACCAGTGAGATCGCACTCTTGCATTGAATTGATCGCATCAATTCTCTTTAATGCATACGTCATACAAAAATTCTGCCGGGGTCTAATCACCAGATCGGTAATATAGAATGTTAAAGAGTGTAAAGAAGCTCAATCCTTAATACTGTTTAAAAACCTTAAGAATTTATTAAGCTTTAATCGTATCCAACATTCCATAATTGCAACATATAATGTATCTTCACACACGTCTGCTGGGTCCATAGTGCCTAAAGCAGCAACAATACATTTAATGCCAACATGACTCAATAAACATCATTCTCATGCAGCTTAATCTAGTTTAAATTCTAGATTAAAATCCTTTCATTGAAATTTACTTAATGATGTATTGACCTTTAATTAACAAAATAGTCACACTGATATTTCAGTATCTTTTTTGGGCAGGTCCCAAGAAAAGATGTTTAGAGGTTAGAAAAACACGTGGAAACTGCAGACACAGAAAGGCAGAGATTCTGCTGTGAGAGTTCTAACTGATGCTGTTGAGGAAAGGATTTCATCATTTGCAACTAAATGTTATACATATTTTTTCAGTTTTGCTAAATACTAATAACAGTATTTTACAATTCCCGAGAGTTAAAGCGTTAAATCACACAGGGATTTCCTGATGTACTTTGTGGAAAAACTTCTAATAACAAAAAGAAATGAACACAGAAAATAACGCAAAAATGCTTCTTTTAACAATACAAAAACTACAACAAAATAAGTATTTTTTATTTCTATCTCAAATGTGAGACACATTTTTTTCGGGTAAAGTGTCAACATTGAGTTGAATGGGGTTTTCCTGCTGTGATGTCATCATTGAACTTCCTGGTTTTAAACATATATTAACATATGATTCACTAACTGCTTCCTGATTGGTTCAAACAGGATTAATCCAACTAAATGAAGCCAAAATAATGATAAAAACCTGTCACATGTTGTGTGAGGTTCTCACCTGCTGGATGCGTGTTTCACATTGTCCCATTAGTCTTTTTTTAATTCACCGACTTTATGTTTTAACCACGTCACCAAACTCCACTCTGTCAACTCTTTAAATACTGCTTTGTTGAGACACGTCCACCCATCTTCAACCTGCGAGAATATTCCAAAGGATAAATACTTTACAATAAGGTTATAACTTTTTCTGTTCTTACCTTTGCCGCTCTGCAGTCAGTGGCCGCTCTCACATCCCGGCGTCAGAACTAAAATTAGCAGAGAGTGGAAAGAAGCCGATTCGCTCGTCTGACTGGACCATGGTACATTCCTGATGGGGCAGTCCTCCTCCTGGAGACATGTAAACATTTAGGAAACATTTTTGAACAGACATAAAACACACAATAAAACCTGAACCAACACTCAAACTTAAATGAATAATGTTGATTGAAGGTTTTATTCCCAGTTGGAACCAGAGAGGCCCTGAATGGTACCAGTTTTGCACGTGGTATGAGGTGGATTGTATTTTTGGCTCTGAGCAGAAGTGGTGTGGCTTCCATCTCATGTTTCTGTTTTGTAAATGGAAACCAAAAACTAAAGAATCTATCGACACACTTATTAAAATCATGACAACTTTATGAGACTAATTGACACCAGTTCAACTCTATGCATAAGGATTGTGATGGTAGTTCCTTTAATTTAATTTAATTTAATTTCGTACATGATGAGTTGCAAAACTTAACCAAAACAAGACACTCAAAGACCAATGTATATATAAATACATAACAAAAGCACCAAAAGAAATAAATAATAATTTTAAGTATGCATGAATAAAATGATAATAATAAATTGTCTCATTTTGTGTATGAAAGGCAGTGGGAAGAAACTTATTTAATCTCATCCCTTTTTCAAATGATGGTTTAATGGTAGAATGTGAGGTTTAAGCTTTGATTTGGAAACATTATTTTGATCCAAGGGAAATCTTGCTTTGCATTTTGCTGCAGCAAGAACAAACATGCAGCAGATGGCAGTGTGCTCAAAGCCTTTTCTACATCAGTGTCTGGTAATTTTTATATAATAATGATAATGGCATTATTCATTCAGTTTTTTAAAATGAGTGAAATATTTGGGCCCTTGACCACACTGTTGACCGCTTTCTTTCATTCTTCCATTTCTTTTCTACCCAAGTTGATATGGAACATTTAGAGCTAATGTGTCCAGGCAAACATAAATAAACAGCTGTGTCTCCTGTGTCCTGTGTGTGTGTGTGTGTGTGTGTGTGTGTGTGTGTGTGTGTGTGTGTGTGTGTGTGTGTGCGCGTGCGTGCATGTGTGTCCTGGAACTGTGTGTGGGTGTGTGTGCGCGCGCGTGCGTGCGTGTGTGTCCTGGAACTGTGTGTGTGTGTGTCCGCATTTATTGTTTTTGTAAGAAATATAAGTAAATTTTTCCTTTTTAATCATTAAACCATATTAATATCACTGCAGTTTTTGAGTCATTGGCAGGTTAATGCACGTATGAAATGGTAGGTTATAATAAATGTTTGCAGATGAAACTTCTCTGCTTTGATAAACGTTTTGCCAACACCTCAAGCCTGATGATTGCCGTGTCCATATTATGTACAGTATATACAGTGGATTGCAAAAGTATTAACACTTCAACCTTTGCCCACAAGAGCAAGGCATGCTTTGCACAAACGTCTTAATATAATTATCTATTGTTTTTATTATTTTGTTTATTTTCTTACTGTTATGAAATTGCTTTTATTATTATAGTGCTACTGTAGCCGATAAAAATACATGTAAATATAATTACATACTGTGCTGCATACCTGTATCATAGTCCAGTTTAATTTAGTTTAGTTCAGCTGCGGTGGCTTTTCCCACCAGCAGAGGGCGTCATTCACCATCTGACCACAGGGGAGGCTTGTGCAGAAATTCCCCGCTCAGGATGAAATGACGTCACGGTGTCCTCCTCCTCTGCCCAAGATCGTCTCTGGATACAGATGCGCACTCTGCAAAAGTGACAGAACTGTGCTCATCATTAGTAGAATCTAAATAATTGTATCTGCTGTTTCTAGTCCATCTGCTGCAACTAAAGACATGACCGTAATCATACAGGGTTCATCTTCTGAATAATGCGTTAAGTTGAAATATTAATATTGTGATCATCATCATTATTAGTAGTAGTATTGAGTAGTATTAATATTATTCGTATTCATCTACAGATTTTACAGATTTGTACAGATTACAGATTGTTAATGAGCGCTACAGAACGTTGCAACATTGGTCGGGAGTAACTACTTGAACTCAGATTAAATATTTGTCAAAAATGTGTATTCCTCGAGAATCAACCTGTTTTGTTATTGGCTGTGAATAGGAAAGGATTCTCTCAAGAAAGAGTAAAAGTTTATTTGTATGGCACTAAAACATTCACTTACAAAAGTGACTGGTTCCTTGATGTAATATATTCCTTTTAAGTGCTCATCTTCTTGGTCACTCGAACACTGTGATACCCCGAGGGTTTTAGACCAATTGTGTATATTTGTAATCAGTAAAATTGTAAAACATACATATTCGTAACTATTTTAACCCAGTTTCTATAATACATATTATACAAGGGTAACTAGCCAGACACTGGTTGTAGTAGTAGGAGGACAAATCCTATAGTAGTAAATTAGTACAATGCCTTGACTTTCCAAAAAACATAAATATGACCCTACATTAGTTTTAAAAAGACGATTATAGATAACATCTTGAAGCTACATACTGCTCGGCCTGTACTTAGGGGCATTACAGTTCAATTATGCTCTCTGTGAAGATAAGTGCAGCCACCATTCACCCAAAGTCGCCTCAGAGTTCACTCCTGACACAATGAGCTGTCTGTGTGTAGGTCACAGCCTCAGTCCTGTCCCCAAGACATCTCTGTGGATGACTGGTACATTACATCACACACTGACATCATGGCTGAGGTCATATAGTGCTGCCTCTTCAAGCTAAAGGCAAATGTGAGGAGGATACAACATGGACACTGATGGCTGGTAATAATTATTGTATCACGTTTAAGAAGGAAATCCCAAAATTCAATACTGTCAAAAAAATATTATAACTGAATAAACAAGACTCCAAAAAGCAAAACTTTAAAGGAGGATTTTTCCACATTTTAGAAAAGAACAGTCCGCGCTCACCACTTTTGGAAAAAAAACTCTCTGGTCTTATCTGACGAGCACGTGTCACCATAATGATTGGCAATTGGGAGGACCAATAGTCTTGATGATCCACTCGGAAGTTGAAAATCCTCCAGTATACCTTTGACTGAAAGTAAAAACACAGGAACTGAAGACGAAGACAAGAACCACAGAACAAACACCTTATGGACTGAAAAAAGAAGGAAAGAGCACAAGGATTTACACTGGGAGACACAGGTGTAACACAAAAAGACGCAGGAGAACAGACAATGCTAAATAAATCAGGAACTAAAAAATGACAACCATGACATCTCTCCACACGTCCATCCTTCTTCCTGGGACACTGTTGTCTTCTAAGATACATTCAGCCACATTTTGTTTTTTAGTTTTTTTTCTTAGCAGTGATGCTTTAATTATACAATGAACAAATCTATGAATACATAAATGGATAAACTTCCAACACAAAACACACAGTCTGGTATAGTTAAGATTTTTCCAACCCTATTGTTCAAACAATAGGGTTGAGATTTCTTATGGAAACCTGAATGTCAATGAGAAATGAGTTTGAGTAAGTAAGTCATCTTTATTTGTACAGTGCTTTTGTACAAATACAAAAGCACTGTACAAATAATACAAAAAATGTCTGGTTTAGTACATGAAGAGTTTATCTGCAACAACACATATCTCAGTTTGGAAAATGTGTCAAAAAATGTATTGCTCGAGCTATAATCTTCGACATGTTTTGTAGGGTGAAACTTCAGCTGTATGGCACTTGAATAGATCTGGCTTTAATCTATTTTCATTACATATGAGTGCTTACATGACTAAAAGGCTCCTGTCTCATACATTGCAATCCTGGAGTTTCCCCATCATTGGACGACTAATGTTTTTTTCTTCTTTATTGTTGGAAAGCACTCAACACATTCAATACAATACAATTGGCCTGAGAGTCTTAAATGTAATAAATACATGAAGAAATTAAATAAATCCACATTTTCTTTCACAAATCTTCAGACCGTTTTGTCTTCCCCCAAACAAAAGCCTCCACAAACCAAACACAGTGTGCGCTCCTCTCTCACAAACCATCTCTCTCTCGCGGATCCCTCGCCTGGCTTGGCCCCGCCCCCAACCCCTCTTTCCTCCAGCGGCGCCTCTGATTGGCTGCGCGCTGCGTCACTCCAAGGATTATCCGCGCCGGGGTAGGTCTCTCCCTCCTGCCGCTCCTCTGGCCCAGGCTTTTGAGTGAGTGGGGCTGGGTTGAAAGCCTCCAGCAGCAGCACGCAAACCACCACGCTACACACGTTGTTTATTCTCTTCTGCATCCACGCATCCATCCATCACCACCACCACCAGCCTCCGATCTCGTCCCAAAATGACGCTCTTCCAACCCTGCTTCACCTGAGCCAGTGGTCACCTTTATACATCACGGTTTGGGCTGTTTCTTTTTTTTTTTTGTTATTGAATGCATTGCTCAAGTATTGCAGCAATTTCTCTGCTAACAATTTGATTTCACAACAAAAGCGACGATCCCCGGCTATGTAGTAGTGACAGCGCAGTCCTACCCGTTGTCTTTTACATCTTATAATAGGATTTCAAGCTGGAGCAGTGGAGAAACCCTCACCCAGAGCTCAACTAAAGCATCCCGGATTCTTTTTCTCGCGTTTTTCCTCGGAATTTTATCTGACTTTTTATTCACAACAATGGGGTTACCTGCGTTGGAGTTCAGTGACTGCTATCTAGACAGCCCCTTGTTCAGAGAGCGCCTCAAGTCTCATGAGCTGGAGCTGGACAAGACCAACAAGTTCATCAAAGAGCTTATCAAGGATGGCAAGGCGCTCATACAAGCCTTCAAAAGTAAGTTTCTTCCATTGTGCATGTACTTTTGATCACGTTACCCGTTCTGTTCTAGTGTCTGCAGTCCATGTTTATAACGCATTATCATTGAATGTGCCTCAGCTGTCAAAGAGAGTTGGATATTATGCATTTATTAAGTGTTTTGTTGTGGATATAGGTGGGAAATAACAATTCTTCACTATATGCTTTATACATGAGTGGTTTTAAATGGTAAAAAGGCTATTCTATGGTTATAACTTTCTAATAAACCTACCTTAGAGCTGCTGCTACTACTTCTGCTGCTACTGATTCTACTACTACTGCTCCTACTTCTTCTGCTACTACTACTACTGCTACTGCTACTACTTCTGCTGCTACTGCTTCTACTACTACTGCTCCTACTTCTTCTGCTACTACTACTACTGTTACTGCTACTACTTCTGCTGCTACTGCTTCTACTACTACTGCTCCTACTTCTTCTGCTACTACTACTGCTACTGCTACTACTTCTACTACTACTACTTCTACTACCTTAGAGCAACCACAACAGCAAATACTGATACTTATTTAGAGCAACCACAACAACCACTGCTACTACTACAACTGCTACTACTGTGACTACTGTTCTACTACTACTGCTACTACTACTCTGATGCTACTACTGATGCTACTTTAGAGCAACCAGATTCAATCTGAATCTGAATCTGAACCACAACAATCACTGCTACCACTACTACTGCTACTACCTTCGAGCAACCACAACAACCGCTGCTACTACTACTACTACTACTGTAGAATATACTACCATGCATCTGTACTTTCAGACCACTGCTAGTTTGTATCTTTATTTTTTAGATTTTTAGGCTCTCTTTGTCACTTTGCAATCCCATCATACCATTTTTACATACATGCAAATAGTGGAGCAGCTTCTCTAAGCAGCAAACAAGGAAATGGTGTCTGTGTAACTTTGAGTATTGATTTTGTTGTTAATATAAGGGAATAATGAATATAGTAAAAGTATAGTATTGTGGTTTTAAGCCAGGAGTCAAAAAGTGAAATGTCCGTGCTGTCATCACCTGTGCATTTTGTTTTGTCAGAAAGTGAAAGTTCCGCGTGGCCTGGGGCTTTCCATAGAATACTATACCATAGCCAGGAAACCCACAAGGTCACACGCCTTTTCACTCCATTCAGGAATTAGCAATTATGGAACGAGACCAGATGTATAAAGTTGAAAATGTACGGAACTTACTTATGGAATTATAGTAGCACTAGTTGTGTCTTTGGTATATCTATTCTTCTATTATGACAGATACAGGTCAAAATGTGGGTGATATTTATGGTTATCATGTTCTATCTTCAGTTTTGTTTGAGCTGTATGCATTAGATCCAAGGATTTCCATGTTTTAGTAGAGCCAGCTTCCACATTTGAATCTGAGCAAAATGAACAGGGAATACCTCTTGTGCAAAGGCAATTTAAATACACTTATTTCTGTTCGTTTCAAATAACTCCAATTGAACCACATCTGGTCATTTGTCTTATTAAATGTTAAATTAAATGTCTGTTATATAAAGTAAGCCTACTATAGTTGTGTTTTAATGTCTTTTGTTTTGAAAGCCCATAGCGACTTAAAAACGGTTGTCTCTCTTTGATGCTTCTTATAATCGCACTGCACACACTTTTGACTCTTAAACTGTGTGAGAGAATTTTGCAATGGATCTAATTAAATCTCTGATGATCTGGGATAGTTATGGACATTTATTAACATTTATGGACATTGGTCGTTCTGCTCCCTGACCAATGGCTTCTATGTGTTTGTCATTATGGAATTTCCTGTGTTTTTTTCTCTGATCTGTTCTCTGAGTCGACAATTTTGTAAAGACTGCTGTTGTGATTTCGCGGTATATAAAAATGCCTTGATTGATAGGCGAGCTCTCTCCCCATTGGTTAAATTGTTCTCTTCCAACAAATGTTACTGATGAGGGTTATGGCTTGGAGAGGACAAAAATAGATGAATTGTAGACCTAGTGTCTGAATAAAAAAATTATGGCGATGATAGTTTAAAAAAATGGCTACATTGTAATACAGGTCCAAGAGATCAAAAATCTGTATTTAAAAAAAGACAAATTTGCACACAAAAAATGCATGGACATCTGCATCAGGGTTTGAGGGAGAATTCCAACATGATTTATGGAAGAGAAGACCCTGGAAACATGATCTCTGAAAACAATGTTACTAGAACACAGTTTGGGGCCATTTCCACTCATCAAAGTCAAACCCAATTGCCCTAAACGAAAAATGAAGTTATAATTTCCGCACCAGGACTTACACTGGAACATGCACCGTTTCAATCTCAAGTCGGAAAACATTTTCAAACAGTAATGAATAAATACATTAAATACATTGTTTTTACTCCACTGGATTTTCATCTCATCTGACATTAATCTCAGGGTTTGAATTGCATATGCGGAACACGGAAATGCTTTAAAATGCATTTCTCTGGGCAAAACACCATCACAATTCCTTGAACACATTAAATATTAAGAGCTGCAGCTGTGCTCTCTGTTGGCTCCTCTCATGTTTCGGGCCTGAGGGTTCGAAAAAACAGAATTTGACTGTGGCGATATCCATCTACATGACATAATGTAGAAGTGAGACTTCCAGCCAACACGTGTGCCGCTGCGTACAATGGGATTTGGGACACGTCTCGGTTCAAATGACTCGAAATCACTGCAATGGACCATGATCTCACTGCTTTTTGTGCAAGTGAAGCCAGAGCTCGATTATAGATGCATGGAATATGTAGTTGCTTATGTGTGCAGCTGCTGAAAGTATTGAGGCAAGGCAAGTTTATATGTATAGCACAAGGCAACTCAAAGGTCTGAAAAAAACAAGATAGAAACAGTCACACAAGGCATTAAAATTATCAATGATCACAGCACATTAAAAAGAAAAATGAAAATGTATAATCAGTTTAAACAGTTGTATGCACAGTTAAACAGAACTGTTTTTCAACCTGGATTTAAACATTGTCAGAGAAGAAGCCTGTCTCATTTAGACAATCTCTCAAAGCTCTCAGCCCAACGCATCAAATAGTGACTCACAGGGCTCTTTCCGAAAAGAATGACAAATATAACAAGTTTTCTAACAACATAAATAAAGTCAGAGATTTTGTACTTAATTCTTATACCGGCATTAATGCGAAAGTTGGAGATTTTAAATGGCTTCCTTATTATGCTAAAGCTAGAGATTTTATACTTTTATACTCTTTCTATAGGTATATAGCTGGATTTTCCCAAATTTTAGGAAAGAACCACCCTCTCCACTTTTTGAAAAAATAAACTCTGGTCGTATTTGACGAACGTGTATCACTGGAATGATTGACAATTAGGAGGACCAATAGTCTTGATGATATCCTCCTATACCTTTTAAGTTATAGATTTTATTGGTGATGCAAATTCCCCACTGTGGGACGAATAAAGGAACTCTCTTAATATTAATCTAACAATAGTATCATGGTCTCTTTCTGATTCTGTTGACACAGTATTATTAGTATCAATGAAAAATAAAAGTTAGGTACCGTAGCTTTAAATTAAGTTGGAAGTTATCACTCCTTCAGAAGAGAGTACAGCCTGCTGTCTCTGCGTGTGGCCACATCTCGGGTTAACAGACCGGCGGTAAATCATCCGTGGAGTTTACTATACCTTTATAAGAAGCACTTTACATATTTGCCAGACAGCGCGGTTTGTTGAGCCGGTGCTAAGACTTGGAGAACGTGTTGCACTAATTAGCTACATCCAAAGTCACACCCACAGACAAGACGATAACCGGTGCCAAATTATAAGCCACGGCTGCTAAATAAAGCCATTGCATGTTTTTTTATATGACACTAAAATAGGTTTAAAATGTCTACGGATACTTCCTCTTTGCTTGCAGCGGCGACATGCATGTAGTCATTACAGTAGAGGAAAAACAAGGGGGATGATGTAAACTCGAGCCGTGCAAAATGACAGGAGTCCGTTGCACTAACAGCACTCGGAGATTACAGTGTGAGAAGTCTGGAAGAAAAAAAGGCTGTTTCTTTGCTGCGTTCTGTCTCTCTCGTTTTGATTTGTGTGACCTGCAAAACAAACGCTGAACGGACGGTAAAGCTGAGGCAGGTCACTTAGTTTCAAACAACGAAACCATGTTATGATAATAATAATAATGAAAATAATGCATGGGGTTTTTATAGCTCTTTTCAGGACACTCAAAGATTCTTCATATATGTCATTATTCAGTCATTTATCAGTGAAGTAAAAAAATTGAATAAATTGGACGAGGAACTTAAAAAATGTCAAACAATATTCGAGTTTAAAAAACAGATACAAAGTCATTATTTTCGGTAAATATGTTCTTGAAGCATGTTAAAAAGCTTCCAAGCGCTAGGTTGCTTATGGTAAAGGAAGATATTTATGTCGTAAAATCAGAATTGTAAGTAGAGGTGGGATTGCACAAGTTTTTTAAACTTCTTCCCACTCCTATTTTGGACATCGATTGTTTATTTATTTTGCTTAATCAGTGTATAATTACATTGCTTTTGTTTTTTTTTGCTCATCTCAAATGTCCATATAATAATAATAAATAAGAAAACATTCATTCAAACATTCATTCATTCATTCTTTTATTCCATACACAGTGGTGATGAACTATTGTAGCCAGAGCTGCCCTGGGGCACACTGACAGAAGCAAGTATGTGCAATCAGCCCCTACGACCACCACCACCAACCATTCACGCACACACCAGACTCATTCTAGGCACTGTGGGTGAAGTGTATAAAACAACAAAACAGAAAATTCAGATCGCTCCATATGGGAAACAAACTCTTTTCGGATTGCCCAGCCTACAAAACTTTATTTAACCATTTCCGAACCAATATTTAACCCTGACCTAACCAGACACTGAGCATAACCTTAACCTGACTGAACAAATGGCTTCTGGAACACATGTTTCTGTGTTATAATGCATTATTGCCATTTTTTT